GCCCTTAGTACAGGGTCAGACATGAGTGTCACTTTAAGCTGGTTAAAGGCCTTCTGACACTCTTCAGTCCACTGAACGGCATTTGGCTGTTTCTTTTTGGTTAGGTCTGTCAGTGGGGCGGCCATTTGGCTGTAGTGTGGTACAAATCGCCTGTAATAACCAGCCAAGCCTAAGAAGGATTGAATCTGTTTCTTTGACTTTGGGACAGGCCACTTTTGGATAGCATCCACTTTGGCCTGTAGGGGGTTGACAGTTCCTTGACCCACCTGGTGTCCAAGGTAAGTCACTCTGTTTAGGCCTATTTGACACTTCTTAGCCTTAACAGTCAGTCCTGCCTCCCTTATGCGCTCAAAGACTTTTTGTAGATGTTCCAGGTGTTCTGCCCACGAATCTGAAAATAAGGCCACATTGTCAAGGTAGGCAACTGCATATTCTCCTAATCCCGCTAGGAGACCATCTACAAGTCTTTGGAAGGTGGTAGGTGCATTTCGCAGCCCGAAAGGGAGTATATTAAATTCATACAGCCCGACATGGGTGGTGAAGGCTGATCTTTCCTTGGCGAATTCATCTAGCGGTACCTGCCAGTACCCCTTGGTTAAGTCCAAGGTAGAGATGAACTGGGCCTGTCCCAGTTTCTCTAATAGTTCATCTGTGCGTGGCATTGGATAGTTGTCTGGGCGAGTTACAGCATTTAGCTTATGGTAGTCCACACAAAAACATATCTCCCCATCTGGTTTGGGAACTAGAACCACTGGAGATGCCCATGCACTGCCAGAGGGGCGGATTACCTCCATCTGTAGCATATCCTGGATCTCCCGTTCTATAGCAGTTTTAGCTTGAGGAGACACCCGGTAAGGTTGGGCTTTAATTGGGTGAGCATTACCTGTGTCAATGGAGTGGTATGCCCGTTCAGTCAGTCCTGGGGTGGCTGAGAATGTTGGCACGTCGCTAGTGCACAGCTCCTTGATCTGCTGTCTCTGCATATGCCCAAGGGTCATGAGAGGTTCACCTCTTCCACACCACCAGCACTTTTCCCTTCGTAGTAGACACCTTCCAGCCACTCAGTGTCATCTCCTCCCTGGGCTATAAACTGACAAACCTTTAATTCTCTGGAATGAATTAACCCTCCAGCTTTGAAAGTATCTTGTCTCCTCATTGGTCATTTTGGTCAGGTGCCAGCGAGGTTATCTTAGCTTCTTAACCCTTTACAGGTGAAGGGATTTTGCCTCTGGCCAGGAGGGATTTTATAGCACTGCATACAGAAAGGTGGTTACCCTTCCCTTTATATTTATGATACCCTCCTTGATAATCACTGAATTCTTGGCTTCAATGACTTTCTAGAGCAATGAGTTCCACAATCCAAATATGCACTGAATGAAAATGTATTTCCCTTTTCCAGTTCTGAATTTTTTACATTTCAATTTCTTTGAATATCCCTTTGTTGTTAAATTACATGAGGGAAAACAGAAAATCCTGAAATACCTTCTCTAAACCATGCATTATGTTACATATTTTTATCCTGTTCCCTGCTATTGTTTCCTTTCTAAGGTGAACAATCCTAAATCTTTTCACTCTCTCTTTATATGAGTTTTCCCATCCCTTAACATTGTCACCTTTCTCTGGAGCCCCTCTAGTTCTGCAACATCCTTTTTGAGATGGGGTGACATATATGCACATTGTATTCTAAATGGTTGTATACTACTGATTTGTATAATGACAATATATTTCTACATTATTCTCCATCCTGTTCCTGCAGCATCCTAACACCCTGTTTGCTTTTTCTGACCACAATTGCACATTGAGAGGACTTAGCTGAGCTGTCTACAGCAGTGGTCTCCAACCATTCGACGCACAAGATAACTTTTTGAATTTAAGTGCAACCCAGGATCTACCCAGCCCCTTCCCTACAGCCTTGCCCCACTCACTCCATCCCCCCCTCCTTCTGTCACTCACTCTCCTCTCACTCATTTTCACCGGGCTGGGGAGGGGGCGTGGGCTCGGGGCTGGGGCTGAGGGGTTTGGAGTGTGGGAGGGGGCGCCAGGCTGAGCCTGGGGCAGAGGGTTGCAGTGCAGGAGGGGGTGAGGGGTGTAAGCTCTAGGAGGAAGTTCAGGGTGCAGGAGGGGGTTCAGGATGCAGGAGGGAGTATGGGATGCTGGCTCCAGGAAGGGGCTCAGGGCTGGGGTGCGGACTCCCGCCAGGCAGCACTCACCTCAGGCAGCTCCTGGGGGGCAGTGCAGCATAGCTAAGACAGGCACCCTGCTTGTCCCGGCCCCACGCCACTCCCGAAAGGAGCAGACCTTGGGGGGAGTGCAGGGTTCTCTGCACGCTGCTCCTGCCTGCAAGCACTGCCCCTGCAGCTCCCATTTACCAGGAATGGGGAACTGTGGCTAATGGAAGCTGCGGGGGAGGTGCCTGCAGAGAGGGGCAGCTCGCAGAGCCACATGCCCCTTCCTCCCCGGAGCCACACTGGCTGCTTATGGGAGCAGCATGGGGCCAGCACAGGCAGGGAACCTGCCTTAGTGGCATCTCTGCTACACCACTGGACTTTTAGTGGTCGGAGATCATGGTCGACTGGGAGAATCTCCAGGATTGACCAGTCAATCGCGATCAATAGGTTGGTGACCAGTGGTCTACAGTAACATCCGGATCCCTTTCCTTGGCTGCTACTGTTAATTTAAAATCCTATGTGATATATGAGTAGTTGAAATGTTTGCCTTCAGTGTGCAGTACTTCGTACTCATCAACACTGAACTCCATCTGACCTCATGGTGCCCATTCACCTAGCTTGTTAGTCTCTCAAATTCCTCAGTTGTCTCTGGACTTGACTAACTTTAGGTTGGTTGGTTGCAAATTTTGCTAACTGATTGATCACTCCCCTTTTCAGATCACTAATACATTAGTGCAAATTCTTGATGTAGCCCACTGTTCACCCTTTCCCATGACAAAATTTATTCTTACTCAGTTTCCTGCATGAGCCAGCTTTTGATCCATGACAATGTTGCCTCTCATCCCATTGCTAATTAATTTCTGCAGTAGCCTCTTGCAAGGAACCTTGCCAAAGTCAATTTGGAAGCCCAAATAACTTATGTCAACCATCTCTCCTTTTGACATTTCTTTATTGACATATCCAAATAATTTTAATAGCTTAGTCAGATACTGAAACTGTGCTGGTTAGACACTATCATATCACTATCTGGCAGGTGTTCTATTTTTAATTATAATTTCAACCACATTACCATATATAAAACAAAGCTATGTGGTATGTACTTTCATGGCTTGCCCCTCCAGCCCTTTAAAAATATATGTACATTTGCTATCCTCAAAATCTTTCTGTAATGTAGCGATTAACAAAAAAACAAAAACAAAAAACTCTCAGATGTATATCATCTAGGCCTTGTGACTTATTTTTTAAAATTATCAGTTTGTTCCAATATCTTGTATTCTGACACCTCAGACTCAGATAGCACCTCATCTTTATTACTAGAAAGGAGGTCCAGTAGAGGAATCTAACGTCCTCTGGCGTGAAGGTTAATACAAATAAATCATTTAGGGTCCTTATCCTCCTTAATTGCTCTTTAACCTCTAGTGATACTAAGGACCCACAGATTTTTTCATTCTAATAGAAGCAGGAAGCTAATATATTGTGTTCTATCTTTAGATATTTACTCTTCAAAATCTATTTTGGCCCTCTTACATATTACCTGCTTTAATTTATGCTTCTAGTGATTGGTTTCTCTATGGTTAGATTTCTGCATTTTGAAGAGTCTCTGGCTCAGATAGCCTTCTAAGCTTGCCATGTAGTCATAGTTTACTTCCTACTTTCCTTGTTCCCTTGTATTCAGAAGCAAGCATACATAGCCCACATATCACACATGCTGTCCTACATGTGGGGTTCCCCACTGTGTATTCTAAAAATATATTGGGCCATTCAACATATTAGCAAAGGAAAATGGGTTACATGTTCAGGGCTGGTTCATCGGATATAAACCAGACACTGTGGCTGAACCTGGATGAAACAGACTCAATCCAAGAAATAAGTGAGAAAATGCTTATCGGTATGGTAGGAAGCAGAGAGTAACTAGGAGAATTGGTAAATATGACATCTCCTTTGCTTGAAGGGATCTGCCTGCTCTTTGTGATACACGTTCACAAGTTTGAGGGCCAGGGCAGGTCCTGAAGTTGGTAGATCTGTTAGGGATAAAGAGATAACAGCAGACAAATACTTTTTTTAAAATCTCTGCTTGGGTGGAAGGTTGCAAATTCACTGTCAGATGTAGACCTCCCTCCCTTTAGAACTTGCTTCCTGCTTTGGTCTGACACAGCCTCAAGTGTGCTGACTTATGGAGCATGCTGTAAGACTCATTTTCTTTCCCAGATTTTTGAGATCAGGATGAGGTGGGAATTTGTTGCCAATAGACTGATGGTAACAAAACAGGGATTTGCCTCCTCCAATTTATAGTTTTTGATTACTTAATATTGGATGAGTACATTTCTACAAATCAAAGTAAGTGACTCGCCTTCTACTAAAAACCTCAGATAGAACACACCAGCAATATAAGCTTTGTTTAGTTCCAGGGGTTAACATGGAAGTGAAGTGAATAATTATTGCCTACTGAAACTGACTGTGGCAAGTGCTTTTGGATTACTCAAATTACACTGTATGACATGCTTTAAAGTTCAACTAAACATTTTCAATGTTAAACGGAAACCTCAACACTTGAGATTTCCAACAGGTGGATTAAATGAGCTGTTCTCCCTGGATTACAAAATATAAAAAAGTAATTTTAAGTGTCAAAGGTTTAAAGAGTACATATTTACATAATAAATACGTGTATTTCAATTGTAACTATCTGCAAGTTTATGAATGATATGCATTTGATGAAATAATGTGTGTACTGTTTGTACAATACAGTAATTTGTATGCAAATACCTGCGCCATATCCTTGAATGTTAAAAGATGTGGGAAGTTTATAGAATAAAGTACAAAAAGACCCCCATCAAGGTTTGATTTTCACCTTTAATATGATCATGATTCTTTGTTACTTAATACTTCTGTAAAAAGTTATTACAGGCTTATAGATTATTGCAGTGATTTCTAAGGAAGATTGTCAGCCCTCCAGCTGAAGCTACATATTGTATACATTATTAGTAATTGGCACTATTTACTACAGCATGAAGGACAATACCTTTTAAATAAAGATAAAGCAACATTTATCTGGAAAACATTCAGATTGAAAATGGAGCTTTCCTTCTTACATTACCGTAGCATAGCGATATCCCACAAATTACATTTTGAAAATGCTATTTTCTGAATGGTCACAGAATAAAAAAGTCATGATGAAAATTAACCAGTTTTGTCCAAAAAATGCTATTATGAGCACACTGCAGTTTTTCAGCAAATCTTATGCCAAGCGTCAGAAGGCAAAAGCCTAAAACATAAAAGCTTCCAGTTTGTCTGGCTAGTCCATTCTCCTTGCTCTGGAGTGATCAGTGACCCACACTGCTTTGCTTTAAGACAGTGCACTAATCACTACTACTGTTCTTTGTTGTGGTTGATGCCATCAGGAAGACAAATTCAGGTCCTTAAGATGCAAGTCCTAACAAAAAGCCTCCAACAAATCCACTGGATACTACTATATTCTGTTTGATAAATTCTGTTGACTGAAAAAGAAAATAGTTTTTAGTGATCTGTGTAAAACCATTACACCTAATGGGAACATTTAGTATTTTTATGATTAAATAAGAACAGAGGTTTTTACTATTTTTCAAAACCTGTTAGTTTAGCAGATATAGCACATGCTGGAGTCAGGTATAGTGCACGCTGACTCTGCAGACTTTAACAGCACACTTCATTCTTGACTTGTAGCATGGCTCTTATGCCAATACTGGCCTTCTTCTGTGCAGAAACTCTGCACTGTACACTTCCTTTGTAAAAATGTGAGAGCTAGGGTAACACCACTAAACTCATTTCTGTTTTAACCAGACACAGGGAATTAATTATAATTAGATTAATTATAATCTCAAGGTCACTTCTTTCTGATCCACACTTTTGTAATCTTTAATGCTGTAAATCATATACCAGAGGAAAGCATCGTACTATATCAACAGATGTTTGGATATAAGTAGTAACACAATATAATCTGTGGGTTATGACAGGTATGCAAAATAAATGTGATTTACATCTTTACTATGATGTAATCGGCATTTTGTAAACCAACAACATTAGATATTTCAGGCAACAGAGTAGTGTACAATTTTAAAATCAAAGTCATTTGAACACTATTTTCAATTCATCCGGGGTCCACCCCTCAGCCTGTCAAAAGAGACTGATTAAATTACATCTGATTTAGAGAGCTGTATACCAAGTTTCAGACTGGAATTAAAATTATAAAAACAATTTGGAAATGAAGGTATAATTTTATATAGGTTATGTTGGAGATACCAACATCTTTAACTACAGAGACACCAGTGTGGGCATTGCTATGATTCTCTGCAGCATAACAAACGTCAGACTTCAAGACAAGTAGTCAGAAAAAGCCCATACATCTCCTGGCAAAAAAGACTCACTTTTTCTAATATTCTGTTGGTAAAGGGAAGTCCTCGAATGAGAAGCTATTCCTAAAACTAAACGGGCCTCAGCTATGTTAGAAAAATGTTGGTAATTCCTCTTGAGTGCATCAATATTATGCACACCACAGACACGTTTTGGAGAGGGACACTCGCTAAACTGGTTCAAGGAACGAGGTGGACAACTTCATGCAATCTAAAGCATAATTCCCATTACTTGTACATAGGCAAACTTATTCCTCATTTTAAAGTCAATATGAAAACACTTAGGGGTTAATTACTTTTAGTACAGTACTCCACCAGCAATTAGAGATTCTCTGTGTTTATTTGGTTGAGAGTATAGCAGGGGACAATAAAGCCTTGTAGATGGATGTTTGCACCACCAGTCCGTTATCCAGATGTGACAAGAAGCTCAAAGATTACAAACACCTAAGGATTCAATACCAGCTCCAAAATGCTTTTACTTCATTCAAAAAGGGGGAAAGGGTAATTTTTTTCAAAATCATAATTTTGAGCTGCAACACCACCACCAAAAAGCAACTTTATTTTACTCAAGTAAAGTGATAAGCAACCAATATACTGGGATGTTAATTGGCCTTACAGTAGGATGCAAATTCCCAGAACTGGCACATGGCTGTTGAACCTCTCTATTTTATGAAGACAAGCCCTGAAGCCTGATCAGCATAAGGCAAGAAGTAATTCTTATGGTCTGGCATGAGAACAAAAAATCTCACCTGGAAGTGACCATTAATATAACAAATAGGTACTGGGCTGTCCTGCAGGACTGCTAACATTTATTAAAACATAGAACTATGTTCTGTTGATAAGATTGTGTAAGTCTTCCTGAAGAAGCGGGACTATGCTCGCACAAGTTTTCAAATGCTGCCTAGAATTTTAGTTATCAGGCATAACTATGATCAGTGGAAGGCCAGAAACCTCAATCAATGTAATCTTAACCGAAATGAAACAGCACACAGTTCAGAACAATTTATTTTTTAAAAACATCTTACCTCTTCAATGAGGGTGCTGATTTCAGGTGCTGCCCTGTTTGCACGTTTTTTTATCTGCCTTTTTGCTTTGTTTACATCTTTTTCAACTCTCTTCCAGTCAACTTGCACATACCCACTATGACTGGCAATCTAGGGCAATTAAAAAAGTATTAAGTAAGAATAATGACACTAACCAACATCCAAAGAGTCAAATCACACGATGTTTGTGTCTACCCAATTTTAAAAACTGTTTTGGGTTTGCTTTTTCTAGAGAAAGACAACCATAGAAGTTCAGGTCCTTTAATTACAGATGCTACAGATATTGTGTTTTAACATGCCAGAAATTATTTCTGTAATAAATCAAAAATATACTTTGAAAAAGAACTGGCAAGGTTCAATAGATTCTCATTTCTTTCCTTCCTTTTCTTCTTTTTATTTTATACTATGCTTGAGATTAATTTACAGGTTAATTTATATAGGTCAATTTATATACTCAATATTTATTACTGCTTTACTTGCTGCAAAACAGAAACTGAAAGCACTTTTATCAAAGGACTAAAAGGCAGCTTTGTTTCATTTGTTTCTTTCAGCATCCCTGTTGAAATTTTAATTTAGGACAGGGCGCTCAGAGAATCTGTTATCTAAACCTCACACAGAAATAGAGAGAACTATCCTCTTGTCTTTAGTATTATAAATTGTTCAGCATAATAAGAACCTAATACTATAGGATTCTAGCCCTCTCCACATCACTAAGCCCCAAATAAATGGTATAAGTATCAGTGAATAACATGAACCACTTCTACCATAATGCCAACAAGATATTAGGCAACTAATTATGGGCAAATAGAGGAGCAGTTGCAGACAAGTTCACCCTAACTTTAAAAAACAAACCTCAAACAGCCAAAAAAAAATCCCACATTTTTTACTATGAATGATTTATCCCTTTCCCCCATATTTTTGTTATTAGGCACTGAACTGTAAACACTTACGCAGCTGTGTAACTTGACACACACAAATAGTCCCACTGAAGTCGATGGGACTACTCACATGAGTAAAGTAATGTACATTTAAGTGGCTGTAGGATGAGGGCCATAGATTGCAAAATTTTTAGGGCAGAGACTGCATTTTCTTGTAAGCGTGGAGAACACCTAACACATTGTGGACAATGACTTACTACAAATAATTCCTCTTAATTGGAAAACACCACAATTAATCAAGAAAGGAAAATCAAGGCTACAAAGATCTGCAACTGTCTTTTAAACGTTGGGTAAATCAGTCTATATATCCATTAATTATATATATTATCCATAAACTTTATGGGTAAGTTTTGTTTTTAATATGAACTCAAAATCTGAGATTCATCTAGTGAGAAAGTCATACGATGGAACCCTGTTCACAATCTTAAGTATGGGGCCAGGAATAACTCCTCCATGATGTCTTGAACTTAAACACCACATTTTAATTTGAAGTCACTGGGTTCTGCTGAAGTCATTAACTCAAAAGAATCTTCTTAGCTAGATTACCTCGCTGCAGTTACTCGCATGGGCTGTGAACACCTTTGTTATGGAACACAATAAAGAAAATGCAGAAGCAGATGGAATAGGAAGAGCGGACTAAAGAACCAGCTTCTCCAACAGGAAGTTTCACTCACATTAAACCAACCAACATGAGGAAGTGCTTGTTACCATTAAATAGCATTCAGTTAGTTTTACAACAGAAAATGCTTAAAGTTTACCCTGTTCCAGATTCATAAATCTGATACTTAAACAGGCAGCATTACCTACCACACATGTGTATACTTTAACAAGGTGTTTAAAGACACTAATTTTTATCATACAGGAGTTAACAAATGAACTAAAAGAAACAGAGAAGGTAAATCTTCCTTTTGAAGACTTAAACTCTAGGGATTAGATCCTCAGATAGTGCCATTAAAAAAAAAATCACTAGTTTACACACGCTAAGGATCTGACCCAAAATATTTCTACTAAAACTTGTCAGACCTAATGCATTTGCTTAAAGGCAAATTTCCAATATAAAATTCTATTTGCTTTGGCAGTTCTGTTGAATGCCCCTCTCAAACGGTGCACAAAACTGTGAAGTCGGATATTCAACACAAGAATTTGAGAAACCCTCACCTTTTTATCCCCCCTGTAGCATTTTGCCCTCTCCTAACTTCATTGAGATGTCCCAGCATGCATCATGCCGCAATATCATAGCTACCACAGAACCTCAGTGAAGTACGTAGACCAGAGTAGGCCAGCTAAATCCTAGTGTTATTTTTGCACCTTGTATGGTTTTCAAAGGTTCCATTTGTTACAGAATCATGTGAGTGAAAACATGAACCCATCAATGGTGTTTTAAATGGAATGAGTCCAAATATGGAAAAGAAATAATAAATAAATTACTACAGATAAAACTTATGATTAAATAACGGCTAACAAAAGATTGACTCAGACACAGACCTTAGTCTAACAAGAGCAAAGAGCAGTAAAAACATTTTGCCACTGAACTGAACAGATATGACTAATATACAGAAGTAAAGGGGCATGCTCCATCAACATCCTCAGATGCCCCAGGAACCTCTCAGACTCTCACTGCTAGGTGGCAACTTTGCATGATTTATTTACATTTCCATCACCACTACAGTCCCATGTAGCAATATTTTATATACAGTGATTCTCTACCTTTAGCCCTTTCCTGCAGGGCCAGGAAGAAACAGAGGTCTCCCTTCTTTGAGATCTTGGCACACATTGGGCTCAGCTAGTCCTAGTTACTCCCTTTCTATAGTTCCTTCCTATGTCCTCCTTACACCCCTCTATTAGTGGACAAATTGGCTCATCCAGCCTGATCAGCCAATTAGCTGATTGATGCCTAAGTGATCAGAGTGTTGGCTCACTTACTAGCTCCCAGCACTCTGTCTCAAGAAACAGATCTTTCAAGTGACAAAGTGCTTTAAAAAAACCCCCAAAATAAACAAACAAAAAAACCTAACCCAAAGTCACTTTTCAGAGGGGAACCACATTTTAAGGATTTGGCATGTTTCTCCATAGTTCTCCCTACTATAAGGAACCAGTTAATCTAAAGGCTATAAAACAGGGGTGGGCAAACTACGGCCCACGGGACCGTCCTGCCGAGCCCCTGAGCTCCTGGCCAGGGAGGCTAGTCCCCAGCCTCTCACCCGCTGTCCCCCCTCCCCTGCAGCCATGCCACTGTGCGAGCTGCGCAGCTTGTGCCCACCCACCTCCCAGGCTTTCAAATAAGCCTGTCCTGCCGCTCTGAGTGGCATGGTAAGGGGGGGGGGCGCGGTTGGATGGGATGGAGGTGGGGGGGGTGCGCGGTCAGGAGACAGGGAACAGGGGAGGTTGGATGGGAGGAGTCCTGGGGGGGGACAGGCAGCATGGGGGTTGGATAGGGGATGGGGTCCTGGGGGGGGGGCAGTTAGGGAGGGGGGTCCTGGAAGGGGGTGGTCAGGGGACAAGGAGTGGGGGAGGGATGGATGGGTCAGGGGTCCCTGGGGGGCTGTCAGGGGGTGGGGGTGTGGATAGGGTGTCGGGGCAGTCAGGGGACATGGGGCAGGGGGTTTTGGATAGGGTGTGGGGTCCGGGGGGGCGGTTAGGGGCGCGGGGGGTCCCAGGAGGGGGCGGGAAGTGGGAGGGGATGGGGCCAGGCTGTTTGGGGAGGCACAGCCTTCCCTACTGGCCTCCATACCATTTCGCAACCCCGATGTATCCCTCGGGCCAAAAAGTTTGCCCACCCCTGCTATAAAAGGAAAGATGTTAAGTTTGATACTGTTTGTTATGAGAAATGAATTTTTTATTAGTTGCTTTTATTTTTCCAGTGCCTATATATTATAGTGGACTTGAACTGGCCTTGTATCAGGCACATTAGGAGAATTTACTCTTTCTACAAAAAAAAATACACAATTAATCAAATTAAATTGTTCAAAATATCCAACTTCCATGATATTTGATGAGGATAATAAGGTCTTTACTTATAAAAGCCATGCCTATTCCTTAACAGATTCTTTTCCTTCTCTCTCCCCCACGCTACAAGACTACTTTTTAATAGGATCAGTTGTAATGTTGCTAATTGAACTAGCCTGTTTTCAGAATTTGACTTACTATCTGCTACCTGTGACAAACCACGTAATATATTTTGTTTTTCGTTTCCAACTAGATCCCTTGAAATCAATTTAATATACACTAAAAGAAAAGTTAGGTTTTTCTCAAATCTCAAAAACTAAACAAATAGGGCTCTACTTGAGTACCCTACCCAAAAAACAGGACCCCTTCTTGTTCCAGTGGATTCCACTGATACCTGTAACTTCTCAACATTTTGCATTAACAAAACTTGAAACTTCAAGGAAACTTGAAAAAAAAGTTAATTTCTAGTCACCTGCTGAAAACCCTTGAACCTGTTCGATGAATGCATTCAGCATATATTCCTGAATTAAAGTGAATTTACACTGTGTATTTACAGAGGATTTTTAAATGAAAATACTTTAAAGACTAGAAACGTAATTAGACCACCATTCAATTTATGACTAATCTTTAATATGCAAAGTACCTAGAATTAAATGACTAAGACATTTACTTCTAGCAGAATCTGATCTGAATCAAAGATGGAGACAACTGAACCTAAATGTACAACTGAAGTATAATAGTTCTACCCTGTCCAACCCTCCCCTCATAAATTTCCTTATCAGATATTTTCCACAGGAAAGGCCAACACACACACAAAAATCAAGATATACATAAATGGATACAATAAGTCCTCACTTAACATTGTAGTTATGTTCCTGAAAAATGCGACTAAGTGAAACGATGTTAAGTGAATCCAATTTCCCCATACGAATTAATGTAAATAGGGGGATTAGGTTCCAGGGAATTTTTTTTTTGCCAGACAAAAGGCACTATATACATTTTAAACAAGCAATTTAATACAGTAACTCCCCACTTAATGTCCTCTCACTTAACCTCCACCCCTTCGCCCAAGCCTCCACCCTTAACCCGCCTCTTCTCCACCTCCTCCCCCTTTACTCCGCAAGCAGTGTCCTCGCTCCTCCCCCCTCCTCCCAGCAGCAATCAGCTGGTTTGCGGCATTCAGGAGGCTGGGGAGGAATGGGGGAGGCAGCGCACTGCGTCTCGCTCCTCCCCTCAGCCTCCTGAATGCTGCAAGACAGCTGATTGCCTTGGGCAGGAGGAGTAGGGGGAAGGCCCTGATCCGCGAGGTCCGCCAGCGGGTGGGAGGGTGTAGGGCAGCTAATAGGGGGGTTGCCAGCTGTGAACAAAGCAGGAGGCCAAACGACATGATAGGAGAGCACTGCACAACTTTAAATGGGCATGTTCTGTAATGGAGCAGGGACATAACACTAAAACAACGTTAGGCGAGAGGACGTTAAGTGGGGAGTTACTGTGCAGCAAACCGGTTTTCCCCATTTGTATATAGGCTCTTTAGTGATTTACAAGCTTTTTGTTTCTTTTTTTAATTCAAAATTTGTGAGACACAAATTGATAAGGCTAGCCAAGTGGTAGAATGTTGTACTGCTAAGCAGGAAAAGCCAGTTCTGAAACCCAAACCCATGCTCTTCTGGACAAATGGAATTTAAATATTGAAGTACAATGAGCACTCCTAAACCCCACAGGTTGTGCCTACACAAAGAATTGAATCATTCCCAACTGATCCAGAGGTGTACGGCACTGGTTTAAGGCAAAGAATTCAGTGTATCCATGCTAGTCAGATTGACTGTGCACCATCTCCATATTTGGGTTATTCTAAACCATTTCGGAAGCAACGCCCTTGGGATACATGTCCAAGGCACAACTCACAGCAACAGTCAGTCTTAGATATTTCAAAAGGTCATCAGTAGCGAGAGAGACATTTTTGGGAAAACTATCAGAACCGTTTCAGTTTGACCCATTTCAGTGTTGTCCCCACTGGTGCTAAAATGGATCAGATAGAAACATTTCTCAGACCTGCTGAAAATCTACACCATTTTTGGAACACATATAAACTAACAAGTACCTATGTGTGAGAACAACACAACACTTAACAAGGATCTAGGGGAATCAAGTAAAAAGTAAAAGTTGCTAGTGGATGGAAGTGACCTCACAGCACAACAACATTCTGGCTAATTAAGGAGCAGCACTTACAGGTCCCATACTAATAAAAAAAAGAAAAGTGGGAGAGGTTTTTCAGAAACTTCAAGGACTCTGTTAGTGAGAAGACTGTCCAGTCTTTAAAATGGTGGGTATAAATTTTGAATGAACCTACTGGTTCATTACTAGGCTCTCAGTTCACTTCCTCTGAAGTGACCTGGAGAAAATGGATTAGGCCACATGTCATTCTGAGATGGGGCGGGACAGTGACCATAATTAACCACTGGAACAGCTTTCCAAAGCATGTGGTAGATTTTCCACCACTCAAAGTCTTTAACTCAAAATTTGAGGTCTTTCTAAAATGTATGTTCTTGCTCAATCCCAAATCATTGGATATAATGCAGGAGGTCAGACTAGGTGATAAAATTATTATTTTGTTCTCAAAAACCTATTAATCTGCCCTACAGTAGAGCTGAGGAGGTGAGAACAGTTGGGCAGGGAGAAAGCTGTGGAGCCGGGAGAGGTCAGAGGAAGCTGCTGCTGAGGAAAAGGTAATATAACTAGCAACACTAGTGCTAAGGGAAAGGCTACTCTCAAAAGTGGGCCAGAGAGCTGAGCTAGCAGCAGATGAAGAAAAGGAAACAAAATGTGGAAGGAGTCTCAAATAAATGCTGGAGGAGGCAACCTGTCCACAGTTATTCTTATATTAAGAACTCCTAATGCAATTATTTGTATCAATTTTTTACGTCTTCAACATTACAATAATAATAAACTAGACACCTAGACTATGATTGTCAAAGGAGTCTAATTCACTCAGGTACCGTTGAGATTCCGTCCCCCTGTTAACAGAAAATAAAGATTGCTTACATTCCTTGATCTCTGCAGCGGTAATTTTATAATCAATTTGCTAAGTCTGGCAAGATCAACTCAAAAATAGTATTTCAATTTCTGCATTACGGTTTTCATTCTTTCAGCTCACTTGAAACTATTTTTATTTTAAAATATTTGATTATTCCTTTTTGTTATAACATTTCTGATCAATAGCTTTTAAAAACTGAATGTAAAACTAAGTAAAAATATACTGCTGCTGTGCTGGTATTTTTCTATTAAGTGCTAAGGCTAATATAAGAAATAGATATGGAACTCACCTTCCCCTTCCCAACCCAAGTATAAGCCAGTTGCTGAGTTTTTTCCATATAATTCAAATATAAAACATTCCCTAAATATTAAAATATGAAATTCTATATACCTGAAGTAGAAGAAATCCACCACCTACTGCAGTTGCTGCAAGTTTTCCAACTTTCTGGAACAAAAATCCTGCACACCTTAGAAGACCCAAAAAAACAACATTCCAATAAAGTTAAGTTTGTCTGGCCCACAGTGCCACTTTTCAGAATTTTCATATTAAACCCTACTAAAATTTTGGATTGCTAAAATGACAGAGTTTCACTTTCCTATTTCTTACTCTGTAGCCTGCAATTTATGAGAAATTATAGATTTATGTAATACAAACACTTTTCGGTGACTTAGATCAAGCACAAGTCTAGATCAGAAAGGGCGTTATCAACTAATGGTTATTTGATGTTCTCTGGAAATTGAGTTGGTAGCTTCAGGCCTTGTCTACACAAAATAATTTAATTAAATTGCACCACTTTAACTGGTACAATCAGTTAAAACATTACAACCCCCTTAGTGCCAACAATTATATCAGAATAAAGGTGCCTTTATAGATATCTCTATTCTGGTAGGGAAGGAGAAATAAGCTATACTGGTTAAAGGGACTTTTGTACCAATATAACTGCATCCACAGTAGGGGCTATACCGATTTAACTATTTCAGTAAAAAAAAACAAGAACACCACACACACCCCCCAACAAAATAATTAAATCAGCACAAAAATTGCATGTGGACAAGGTCCTAGTCTATTTTCGAGTGGAGAAAAGCTTCCTTTCTATTTAACATTCTTGTTGGCACACTCTGAGATGAGTCTACCACCTTGTCAGTTCTAGCGCTGGCCTGTGTGTGCCGGGACTGAGGTATTTTTGTAGGGCTGTTATAAACAGGTTTCACTGTCACTCCACAAACTGCACCTGTTTTATAGAAAAGATACTTCCATTTCTAGATTCCTCAATTTGGCACTTTCCATGATTTTGGCACTAAACTCCCATTACACTTTGTTCTAAAAACTCTAAAGGTTATTGTACATTTATCTATTATTTATAAAAACTGTAGGGAGACACATACAGGTTAAAAATCATATTGAAACTACTAATTCCCCAACTCTATTATTAAACACCTCATATTATTTAAACAATTTTAAAATAATAATGGTCTTTTCACCATTTATGCTCTTTTGTTTGTTTTTACACTGCACTCAGCTTGTACAATAGAGATTCATTTCACTTTCATTTAGCCCATTTTACTTTCAGGTTCTCGTGTATTTGCATTTTAAACATAATAGCATTGTTTAAATCCAAAAATATCTGTTTTCATTAACTTAAAAAGTGTTGTCATATAATATTAATGTTTTAACATTAGAACTTAGATTAATACTTTGTACTTATGGTTGTAAACTTTTTTTTAAAACAGAATACTCAGATAAAATGTCTTTTTAGCTGAGGTGATATAACACAACTTCACATTTCACTATCTGTAAAAACTGCATAGAAGTTGTTCAATTTCAAGTGGCTTTTGTTTTAAACAAAAAAACATCTTCACCTAAAAAAAAAAAAAATGTATTTGGGGCCCTTGACTAAGTCTGCCCCACATTTCTTCTGACCTGTTTTACATGCAAGTCTTATTCACAGTAACAAAACAAACAGGCCTCATGTCTGTATTATAACAAATAAAATATGCTACTCATTAGTAACACTAGCATTATATACAGTAATTTCCCATTTGTTTGTTAAAGAAATGATCTTAAGAGTTCTGTCACTTCTTCAAAGCTCTTTTGCAATAACTGGCAAGTTCTTTCCTTATCTCTTGAATTTACAGTTATTAATTAGGAAACCATGCAAGCTCAAACAGTTTATCACTTCGAATGATACAGAACAGAACAGTCAAATGCATGGCGCAATAATCAAAAGTGATCCTCTCTCACCAACCAGTCACTCCGCCCATTACAATCTGAGTGGCTACAGAATACTTTTCTACAATTGGTCCAGAATTTCGGCCAAACACACGATTCCACCAATGGTGACGCCTTGCATAGTCTGTTAAATCCAATACTTCATACGAATCATCATCACTGTCGTGCTCTTTAAAAAAATAAAAATAAAAAATAACATAGGTGATTCTCCTTTTAGTGAGTGTTCAAAGCAAGTTATAAAAGCATTAGTTCTGAGCTTCTCAACTGTAAGTAGTTCAGTACAAAAGTCTCAGCCATCTTTTTAAAATTTTGAGGTAAATACAGGTCAACAGGCTGGTAAATTAAGAAGACACACACATAAAACTATGGTATTATCACATTACTATCAGTTGCAATCAATACTTAATGGTCTTGACTACTTAAAATGGAAGGCAAGTGACTCAAACAACAGAAACAGCAGCCCCAACAAGCTAGCACTGAACTTTCCTGTTACCAGGTCACTAGTAGTAAGTAGCTGCAACTACAAACTGTCCACTTGTTTATTACAGAGGGGACAGAAACATCAAATAAGGATTATTGGTCTTAGGCCTGGTCTACACAGTTTTTGTACTAGTATTATGATGGTTAGGGGTGTGATCATTTTTAACCCAAATAGTTATAGTTTTACACCCCCTGCTGTGGATACAACTGTACCTGTATAAATGTGTATAGTTTATTTCCCTTCTTGTTCAGGAACACCTACACCAATATAAAGCACCTTTACATCGGTATAACTGTGTCCACACTAGAGAGAACTATATCAGCTAAAAGTTGTACCACAGTTGTGTTTAGACAAGCCTAAAGGGAAAGGAAGCAAGCTATGGAAATTATTTCACCCTCGCCCCAACACTGCAAAGTACCTTGTAAATTTAACCTCTTGTCTTTAATGGTTTTGAATAAGGCCCTAAATGGCAAGTCTATTCATTCCTCTCCTTTCTTGACTGTGCTAGGATTTCCGGGGGCATTTGTTGAATACTTGACATTTCGGTGGCACACTTTATCTGAAGATCTGACCTTGCATTAAACACCGTCATGCCCTGCAGCCCTGATCCTCCCAAGCAGCCGGGCTGCAGAGGACCTAAGGGCTGCTCCCATCCCACAGACGAGGAAGCGACGGGGGCCGCACACTGAGCCCCAGGGACTTCGCGAGCGACTCCGCTGTCGCAGCAAGGACGGAACCCAGGAGTCCCGGCCCCGAGCCCGCCCGGCAACTTCCACCCCAGGGGCAGCCACTTCCCGGCAGGACGCGGCGGCGGCAGCGCATCCCCCGAGCCGGGCGCTTCCTCCCAACCCGCCCCCGCCCTGCAGCCACCAGTGGCCGCCCCGCCAAGCCCCTCCCCGGCCGGGGCACGGGGGCGCTCGGGGCAAAGAAGCTCCCACTAGGGGGCCCGGCTGAGGCGGGAACGAGTCTCCCCGCGAGGGGACCAGGCCGGGCCGCGCCCCCGGGAGACTCACTCACCCGAGGCGGAGCGAGGCCTCCGAGCCGCCATGTTAGCGACTGTTTACTGGGGGCTAAGGGGGGGCTGGAGCGGAGCGGCGCCGCTCTGCGCCGCTAGACGCCGCGCTCTATGCTCCCGCCGCTCCGCTCGGCTGAGCGCGAGGCCAACGCAGACCGCTCCACGAATAGCGGCGCCGGGCCTCGCCGCCGGCCGGAGGGGTGCGGGGTGGCGTCACCGCCACCTCTGCCCCGGGGGGTTGTGGGGATTGTAGTTCTGCTGGCTGGTCCTGTGCGCCGCTGCGGCGGTGAGGGGAGTTCCCGGCTGTGGGCGCCTTGCGAGCCCCGCCCTGCGCGGGGGCCGACAGCGCTGCGCCCAGTTACGAGCCCTCTCGCGCCCTTCCCCCCCCCCCCCACCCCCAGCAGGGATGCCAACAGCTGCGGGGGGGCCCTCCCAGCCGCCATGTCCCCGCGCGGCCAGCCCCAGGCACTCACAAGCGCTGGGGGCGGGCCCGGCCCCCCCTCCCGAGCCATGTCACGCGCCGCGGCGCGCTCGGGCTGCCTCGGGTGCGCCCGCGGCCGTTTGCTCCCTCGGGGCAGCCGGTCCCACAGGGAGGCGGCAGGGCGAGGTGCCAACTTCCTAACCCCGCGAAACCGAACAGCCCTGTCCCGCCCCTTTCCGGGGGCCCCCACCCCGCTCACGACATTCCCCCGCCCTCCCTCGCTTTCAGCGGGCTGGGGCTGGGGATAAAGGGTTCAGGGGGCGGTGCGGGTGGGGGCAAGGGCTCTAAGTGGGGGTGTGGGCTCAGGGTGCAGGAGGGGGATCAGGGCTGGGGGTTGGGACGTGAGCTTATCTCGGGTGGCTCCCTGTCAGCAGTGCAGCGGGGAGTGGGGGCTAAGGCAGGCTCCATGCCTGTCCTGGCACCACGCTGAGCCCCGGAAACGGCCAGCTGCAAGTCCAGGTCCCAGGCCGGGGCAGTGGGGAGGGGGCAGGAAGCTCCGTGTGCTGTTTTGGCCGCAGGCACTTCCCACTCCCCCCACGCCCCATTGGCCGGCTCTCGGTCAATGGAAGGGCAGAGCCGATGCTTGTGGTGGGGGCAGCGCGTGGAGCCCTGTGGACCCCCTGCCGTGGAGCCGGACCTGCTGGCCGCTTCCACGGCGCAGCGCGTTGCCAGAACAGGTAGCGACTACCCTGCCTTAGCCCAGCAGCACCACTGACCGGACTTTTAACGGCCTTTTGACCAGCACCTGGTCACCCTAGGCAGGGTGGTTCTGGGTGGGTCACGGGCTCACAGCAGAGGGGGGGCCCTGGTGGTGGAGAATCAGCCGGCACCAAGTTGGGATTTGCAGGGCTAGGCTGGAGGGCGCCTGCCTAGGTGATCAGGCGGGCAGCCCCCTGGGTAGGGCAAGAAGGAGGAGGTAGCGGAGGAGAAAGAGGGTGGGCCTATGATTTTGGCCTCTCCCCTGAATGAAATTGGACACTAGGTGAGTAATCTAAAAAAAAAAAGACAAAATGCAGTTGATGGATCAAGGTAGTAAATAGTTTGGGACCCGCTGATCTAAGGTGACCGTGATCACGCTTTCAAGCTTTACACCATACAATTTTTTTTTTTTTATTAAGATGAAATTGCCTCATCACCAGAGCCCAGGATAAAATTTCCAAAGTTGGATTCTGGCAGCAACAAGGCCCAATCAAACTCCCCAGCAATGCCAACTCTCCCAGTTTTTTCCACAGGTGACAGGATTTTGGCTGGGGCAAAGATGCCAGAAGTTCCAGCACAGTCTTTAGCAAGTTTGAGCCCTGCCTGGGTGAAAACCCATCTGCTTGGCTGGTTGTCCAGCCTGCCAGCCTCCTGGGGCAGAGCAACCAATCAGAGCTGCTGCAGGCAGAGTGCTCTGCCTCCCCTCTGTAAGGCCAAGCAAGCCATTCTCACTGGAGAGGAGGTTAGCAGAAAGATTACAGTAGGTGAGGGTAGCTCTGCTCCCTCCCCTCCCATGAGCAATGAGACAGCTCTTCTGCTGCACCCAGCCTGGGAAGGGGCAGAGGAGGGTGAACAGCCCCTGGAGGTCCACCCCAGCCTGGGAAAAAGGGATCCTGCTGCAGCCCTCAAACCTGGGAGTTAGGAATGGAGAAACAGAGGTGAGGCTGAATTGAAGGGGTGGGTGTTGGTGGTGTTGGCCTGATGGGGTGTGGGAGATGGGCTGAACTGACATGGGGCCGGGTGGGGGGAAGCTCCTGTGGCAGGGGCCAAAATCACTTTCCCCAATACATTTGGGAGCATGGGAAACACTAAATCGTACCCTTACTTGCACAATGGGGATGGGCAGGGGAAATTCAAAACTCAAAAGACAGACCAAAATATCTTTTGATAAAAACCTCATGGTTTTGGGGGGTGGCAACATTTTTTAGCATCTGACTTACGATTTTTAATCTTTTGAGGTTGGCAATACTTATGGATAGTACCATGCCCAGTTGTCTGGGCTCCCGTGGCATAGAGGCCCATACCCCTTGAGTGGAGACAATGAATTTGCTGGTGACTGCCTTTATGATACAGTGCAATGGCTCACCATGGTCCATGCAAGAGGTAGAGACGCAGACACAATCTTAGCAGCTCCAGAAGCAAAACAATTGTGTTAGTTGCTGTTTTGATAAATAACCCTAGGAAGACAAAAATCAAACTTTTCATCTGTTTCTGGTGTTACTAGATTTGGAGGATTCATGCTGGAGGCAGTGTGGCCCAGGGGATAAAGTTGGAACTAAGAGCAGGAGCCCTGGTTTTAATCATGTCTCTGAGACTGATTCACTATATGACCTTGGGCTAATCACTTAACAGTTGGGCTGTCAATCGCAGTTAACTCATGCAATTAACTCAAAAAAATTAATCGCGATTAACCACAGTTTTAATCACACTGTTAAACAAGAAAATACCAATAGAAATGTATTAAATATTTTGGATGTTTTTCTACATTTTCATATATATCTTGTATTCTGTGTTGTAATTAAAATCAAAGTGTATATTTTATTACAAATATTTGCACTGTAAAAATGATAAAAAGAAGAAATAGTATAGTTCATTTCACCTCATACAAGCACTGTGGTGCAATCTCTTTGTCCTGAAAGTGCAACTTACAAATGTAGAGGGTTTTTTTGTTACATAACTGCACTCAAAACAATATAACACTTCAGAGGCTACAAGTCCACTCAGTCCTACTTCTTGTTCAGCCAATCGCTCAGACAAACAAGTTTGTTTCCATGTATAGGAGATAATGCTGCCCTCTTCTTATTTATAATGGCACCAGAAAGTGAGAACAGGCATTTGTGTGGCACTTTTGTAGCCAGCATTGCAAGGTATTTAAGTTCCAGATATGCTAAACATTCGTATGCCCCGTCGTGCTTTGGCCACCATTCCAGAGGACATGCTGATGATGCTCGTTAAAAAAAATAATGCGCTAATTAAATTTACATGCTACAAGGGGCCACAGCAATGGTTCCCTCACCCCACCTAGCAATATTGTTAACCTATCCAACTATACTCTCAGCCCAGCAGAAGCAGCTGTTCTATCTCGGGGCCTCTCCTTCTGCCCCTCCACCCCCACGAACATGATACAGTTCTGTGGTGACCTAGAATCCTATTTTCGACGTCTCCGTCTCAAGGAATATTTCCAAAATACCTCTGAACAACATACTAATCCACAGAGGTCTCCCTGCCAACACTACAGAAAGAGGGATTCTAGATGGACTCCTCCTGAAGGTCGAAACAGCAGACTGGACTTCTACATAGAGTGCTTCCGCCGACGTGCACGGGCTGAAATTGTGGAAAAGCAGCATCACTTGCCCCATAACCTCAGCCATGCAGAACGCAATGCCATCCACAGCCTCAGAAACAACTCTGACATCATAATCAAAAAGGCTGACAAAGGAGGTGCTGTTGTCATCATGAATAGGTCGGAATATGAACAAGAGGCTGCTCGGCAGCTCTCCAACACGAGTTTCTACAAGCCATTACCCTATGATCCCACTGAGAGTTACCAAAAGCAACTACAGCATTTGCTCAAGAAACTTCCTGAAAAAGCACAAGATCAAATCCGCACAGACACACCCCTGGAACCCCGACCTGGGATATTCTATCTACTACCCAAGATCCATAAACCTGGAAATCCTGGGCGCCCCATCATCTCAGGCATTGGCACCCTGACAGCAGGATTGTCTGGCTATGTAGACTCCCTCCTCAGGCCCTACGCTACCAGCACTCCCAGCTACCTTCGAGACACCACTGACTTCCTGAGGAAACTTCAATCCATCGGTGATCTTCCTGATAACACCATCCTGGCTACTATGGATGTAGAAGCCCTCTACACCAACATTCCACACAAAGATGGACTACAAGCCGTCAAGAACACTATCCCCGATAATGTCATGGCTAACCTGGTGGCTGAACTTTGTGACTTTGTCCTTACCCATAACTATTTCACATTTGGGGACAATGTATACCTTCAGATCAGCGGCACTGCTATGGGTACCCGCATGGCCCCACAGTATGCCAACATTTTTATGGCTCATTTAGAACAACGCTTCCTCAGCTCTCGTCCCCTAAAGCCCCTACTCTACTTGCGCTATATTGATGACATCTTCATCATCTGGACCCATGGAAAAGAAGCCCTTGAGGAATTCCACCATGATTTCAACAATTTCCATCCCACCACCAACCTCAGCCTGGTCCAGTCCACACAAGAGATCCACTTCCTGGACACTACAGTGCTAATAAACAATGGCCACATAAACACCACCCTATACCGGAAACCTACTGACCGCTATTCCTACCTGCATGCCTCCAGCTTTCACCCTGACCACACCACACGATCCATCGTCTACAGCCAAGCTCTGCGATACAACCGCATTTGCTCCAACCCCTCAGACAGAGACAAACACCTACAAGATCTCTGTCAAGCTTTCTTACAACTACAATACCCACCTGCAGAAGTAAAGAGACAGATTGATAGAGCCAGAAGAGTTCCCAGAAGTTACCTACTACAGGACAGGCCTAACAAAGAAAATAACAGAACGCCACTAGCGGTCACCTTCAGCCCCCAACTAAAACCCCTCCAACGCATTATTAAGGATCTACAACCTATCCTAAAGGATGACCCAACACTCTCACAAGTCTTGGGAGACAGGCCAGTCCTTGCCTACAGACAGCCCCGCAACCTGAAGCAAATACTCACCAACAACCACATACCACACAACAGAACCACTAACCC